GCAGGACAAAAGTGCTCATGACTCCGTGTCCTGAAAAAAAAACACCCCGAATAACCCAGAATATATATATATTACTTCCAGTGGTATTCATAACGTTAAGGGTTTTCATTCCCCAGGCATGTTTACCATAAGGCGTATTTGATTTAAATGCATTTTAACTTCATAGTTGAATTGGCCTTGATGTTGACGAAACTCGCGTCTGGCGTACTATATTATAAACCTGGTATCTTTGATGTTTTTTTTTTTTTTGCATACTGATCATTTTCCTTAAGTACAAACTCCTCAACGGACGGTATTTATAACAAAACCTTTTGTAAATTGTTCTTTTATGAATTTATAAATTAGTAAGCAATTAAGGTTCAACTCCCTCATGTAAAGTTGACCTTAGATGAATTTGGCTATTTTTTAGGTCCTCTTTTGGTCGTATAGCTCTTCAACTGTTTCAATTCTTATACATCCTTCGCATTCAACTATGCAGCTTTGAGCGTTCCTGGTTTAGGTAAATTTAAAAAAACAAGGGGGGGGGGGGGGGGTCTGACGCATGCAATTTTTAAAGTGTTGTTTTCATTTTTTTTTAATTACGGGTGACACTGAACTACATACTAGCGAGTTTATGGAGGTCACTTATTGTTTACTATAATTGATATACTACAGGAAATGTCCGGAAGAAGATAGGTATATCTGTTTATCTTCTAAGTGGCCACTGGATCAGTCATTTCCGTGTTTACATTCTATTATTATATATCGTAGATCACATACTAAGTAGTTAAGAGGTGTGTCGTTGTCTTTAGTTCTTTAACATATTAACCTACATCTTATTACTACGTTTCATAACTTGATGAAGAAAATAAGACTTGCCTTGGAAGGAAAGATTGCTACATTTGATCGTTTAGTTTTCTACGTATTTATAAATTACTGGCTTTCTCATGTTTAGTTTGAGCGTTCCTATTGAAGGTTAATTCGCAAAAGAGCATCGGACGGACGACATGTTTAAAGTGTTATTTTTCACTTTTTGTTGTATTCAATACATTACATATGTTCTTTGAACCATTTCTGAGCGAAAAATTGCTATGGCGACTATTTCATGTATTTCAACCCTGACAATGCTAGACAAACACGATTAGCTCGGCGTTAGTACTATTAAAATCTATAAAGATGTCTGCAGAAAAAAACATCAATCTTTTTTTCCTAGCCCGCGTTCGTCATGCTTTGTTTCTTGCTTTCAAAACCTTCGTCCTTTAAGTTTTGTTTTCATTGTCCTAGTCCGTTAAGCAATCAATTTGTTTTTGGTTTTCACAGCCATTGTCCGTTAAGCCTCGCTATTTGTTTTCCTAGCTTGCGTCCGTCAAGCTTTGTTCTTTTTTTCCTAGCTTGCGTCCGTCATGCTTTGTTGTTTGATTTCACAGCCTGTGCTTGTCAAGCTTTCTTCTTTGCTTTCATAGCATGAGTCTGTCAAGCTTTGTTATTTCATTAATTGCTAAATACCAGCGGTTTTTTTCACAAAAAATCTTAAGAGTAAAATTACTCGTAAGTCATACACATTTTAGTATAACTTACGATCAATTTTAATCGTAAGATTTTTTGTGAAAAGAGTCGCAGGCGCGTAGCTATGTTTACGTCAAAACGCCCGGGCGTGCACAAGAATTTTGGTGAAAAAAATTGTAATCAAAATAAATTCAAAGAACTGGTTTAAAGCACATGAGCCTTATAATGCTTTCTTCAATGACTTGTAATTGAAGACAAAAGTGACGAAATTTACTTTTTAATCAGATGGTATCATATTGTATATTTGTTCATTTTTTGTCAAAGTCTGAATCTATTGTGAATTCTACTCAGTTTACTATTGTTTAAAGCAATTCATTATCTGCAGAAAAACGATAAGATTTTTTTTCTTTTTTGGGATTTTTTTTAGTATGTGAACGTTTCGTGGTTTTCCGGGGGTTGGAATCCCCCTCTTTTCAAAGTGACTGGATGTGAGCCTGCTTAGAGCTTGATATATTGTAAAGACACTTTTCCATCAATAAACTCACCATATATACCAGGATTGAAATGAGACAATGTGTTGGAAGTCTTTTTTTATGTATAGACACATTTCAATTTATTTGCATCATTGTTTAAAAGCCTACTTATCTTACAGTTTGATATTTCTTATTTGAATAGCACATACTGAATAACTGGTTATTTTTATCTAAAACCAATGATCATATTGTATAGGAGATTTAAATTTTATAGAATGCACTGTATATATTCATCAATTTGATGTACAATATATTACAAATATTCCATTGTAAACCTTAGTATTAGTTATTTTAGGTCATATCAGTTATTCTAATTGGTCGTTGTGAATGAATTGCATATAAAATGAAATAACTTGAAATAAACAGTCTTTTTCAAATTGTTAGTTCCCGAGGATATCATCAGCTCAATTGTCAGTGCTTTGGTACTGACATGACTTTGAACATACTATTCTAAAACTCCCTGTTGATAAATTTAAAAAAAAAATAGTCAGAAACTAAGGTACTAACGGAGATGTTCCAATTGACGTTACTGTAACAATCCCGTCCCCTTTCCCCCCGAATGTGACCTACCAAATTAGAAATATCACCGGGTTTGTACTAACATGAGCAACACGACGGGTGCCAAATGTGGAGCAGGATCTGCTTACCCTTCTGGAGCACCTGAGATCACCCCCAGTTTTTGGTGGGGTTCGTGTTGCTCAGTCTGGTTTTCTATGTTGTGTTTTGTGTACTGTTGTTTGTTTGTCTTTTTCTTTTTATCCATGGGTTTGTCAGTTTATTTTCGACTTGTGAGTTTGAATGTCCCTTTGGTATCATTCTCCTGTCTTGCACTAACTACCTCAGGCAACATTGACTTTGGATAAAGTTATTTATTTTGGCCCTTATGATAATATAGCTTCTAACGTTTCCGCAATTTACACACCCTTGTTTTTCAAATGCTTTGTTTCAGCGTTCCGTATGAAGGCAAATTTAGAAAAGCGCTTCGAACGCATTATATTTTTAAAGTGTTTTTTTTTTCATTTAAGGTATTTATTTGTTTTATATTTTAAAATTGCAGGGTCATTATCTTTATGTATCACTTAGTGACTTACTTGAGCTTTATTATACAAGTTGATACACCCATTCAAGAGAGTCTGAATGGGGTTTACAGATTAGAGAATAGTAGGCCAATGCTACAGAAAAATGGGCTAAAAATAAGAATTAGAGAAAGATATGCAAAAAACAAGTAAAGAGTAGAGAATAATGGGGTGTTGAAATCTAACGAATAGAGAATAATGGGCAAAATAAATATAAAAGAAAAGAAAATAATTGGCAAAAAAAGAAAAAAATAAAGAAAAAAAGTCTAAAACATTATAGAATAATGAAATGAGGGACACCCATCCAAACCCTCACACATGCAACTTTATTTACAAATTTTTAAAGTGGTATCATTGTAGCCTGATATACTAGTAAAGCTGCACTACAATTATAAACACGGAAACTAACAATAGTGTAACAGCATTTTCCACGATCAAAGTACGTGATAAGCAGTGATTATATAACATATGTAAGTGCACGTAAAACCTTACTGAATGATGTTCGCTACTCTGTTTCAAAATATTAATCTTTTTAAATAACAAACTGTTATAAAATGATAGTAAATAGATAACAGAACTAAAGCAGAATTAATGAAAGGTCTGTGTCATTGTTTTTGAGATATGAGCCATTGAAAATTAGGCGGGAAATGAATTTCTCTAGATTTTTCATACATTTAACATTTGTACTCTTTTTTCCTCAAAAACTATTAAAAAATAACAAGGATTTTAAAAGATTTTGAAACGAATAGCTTTTTAAACTATATGTATTAGAATTATGAAAAGAAAAGCAAGGGTCAGTGGGCAAATTTTGAATGACTCTACATGGATAAAACCAGAGGATTCCGAATATCTTACAAAAAGTCAAAAACAAGAGCATCGAACAACCTTAAGGTTGTTTTTGGTATATAATTGACACATTCATTTAGTATGATAAAAACTGTGTAATAATTATCTGGTTTATTTCTTACCAAGACCAAATGGAAATTAAAAGTCTTCAGTCTTTATTTACAGTTGCAAAATACATAAATCTTGCAATCGTTTTTATCTCGCCTACGACGAATACCACCTTAAATAAGACATACAATATACTTTTCCGACATCTTCAGCAACGTATTTAAATGGTTTACAGACCAAAAATGTTTTATATCCAGTGTAATTAGGTCCATGCATTGCAATTGCATACACATGTATTCGACCCTTCAAAGTCATGCTACAAAGAATATGTAATTTTTATATTGTTAAAATTGTTTTTTCTGAATTGTTGTTCTAATAAAGAAGTACTCATAACATACCATTTATTCATTTATATTTTGTGCTTTGTATTATTGAATTCAATGTTTTCATTTTTAAGCATGAAACGATATCCTGTCACTAATAACCAGTCATTCCTCAGAGACTTATGGGATGTTTAAATGCTTCACATGCTTAGATTTGGATAAGGCGTGTTTACAGAGTTTCAACAAATGATAAACCATTTTAGTTCTTACAGAAAACACCATTTGTCATGTTTGTCACTGACATTGAATGACATTTCAACCATGTATATGTTGATAAACATTTTGGGTAATAAGATGGGACATCATGTGCATTACACACCCTCAAATTAAGGTTAATGAAAAGTAATTTTATGTACATTCATGTCCTCACTCATCCCCAGCTGATTCCTTGTAACAAGGGGATCCCTGAGACATCACTTGAATGGGAATTTAAAACATCCTTTCTTTTCATATAGCTCTTCAACTGTTTCGGTTCTTATACGTCATGACTTTCAAAGTTTCGGCATAAAGCGTTCCTAATGAAGGTAAATACAGAACTGCGCATCGAACGCATGAAATTTATAAAGTTTAGATTTCATTTTTTTCAACAAATGGGTTATAAAAGTACATGTACGTATCTGTATAAAAGCTTTGCATGGTCCTTTTAAAATATTAATCATTTATTTTTGAAATGTATATAACAATATTCGTTGTTTATTAAATATTATGCACAAAATAAGTTCTTAGTTGATTCCAAATTATACATCACATATAAAATAAATGCAAATGTGGTAATAATTCTTGAACTTTCACGAACATTTAACCAGTAGAAAAGATCAACGTTTATCATAATGGCAAATATGAAATTAATATTATGAAGAATGTTCTCATGTTGTAAAAAAATTTGTTCTAGGCGTTGGCAGTGATAGTTGAAAACCAAACGATTTTACAGATCTCTTCAATCCTCTTAACTTGTTATCATATCCGTATATACATGTGGTTATACCATATATAAAGAAATAATATGATTATAAAATGCTATTTTGTCCAATGTTTACAATGCACATAACAGTGGTTCAAAAGTGTGTTGCATTCAGTAATGCCACACAAAAATTGAAAATAAAATGCTATTTTGGCCCATGTTTACAATGCACATGACAGTGGTGGTTCAAAAGGGTAGTGCATTCAGTGATGCCACACAAAAATTTGAAAATAAAATGCAATTTTGTCCAATGTTTACAATGCACATGACAGTGGTGGTTCAAAAGGGTAGTGCATTCAGTGATGCCACACAAACATTTGAAAATAAAATGCAATTTTGTCCAATGTTTACAATGCACATGACAGTGGTGGTTCAAAAGTGTGGTGCATTCACTGATGCCACACAAAAATTTGAAAATAAAATGCTATTTTGTCCAATGTTTACAATGCACATGGCAGTTTATCGACATTCTGGTACATTCAGTGATGCCACACAATAATTTGAAAATGAAATGTCATTTGTCCAATGTTTATAATGTACATGACAGTGGTTCGACAGTCTGGTACATTCAGTGATGCCACACAATAATTTGAAAATAAAATATTATTTTGTCCAATGAATGTTGATAATGTACATGACAGTAGTTCGACAGTCTGGTGCATTCAGTGATGCCACACAATAATTTGAAAATAAAATATTATTTTGTCAAATGTTTACAATGCACATCGCATAAGTTCCATCGACTGGCACAATCAGTGACACAAATCGTTCTGAAGATGGAAGACCGGTCAATAAAAGATGCGTATGGACACGGATGATTGATACAGTTCCGATTAAAGCGCATATTGCACGAGTCGCATTCCCTTCGGTGTCGAATTGAAATCGTTCTTCCTGATACCATCATAGGAAGGCAAATAACAGCTACTAAGATTATGGTAATCTTCTAAAAATAAACAAATTTATCAATTATTAGATTGATTGGTTGTAATGGTTTTATGCCACAGAAAACATAAGACAATTTGAGGCGATGAGCATGGAAAGGGCGATATTAAATTAAAATGAAATTAATTCGAATAAGAAATGGGAGGGTTTTGATGGCACAAAAAAATGAAACAAATTGTGACGCCTACTAGAAATATATGAAGTGCACAGAGAACCATTCTGAATATTGACGTGGCAAATTGAAACCTCTTTTTCAAAATTTAAAAAAGGGTTCTTCAAAATGTGCAAATCGGAGCACTCTCTAATCACGCTTCCAATTATGGTCTATCGCATATTTTAACTTAAATACCACTGTGATAATGGAACCCCCTTATCCACGGCTGCTCTGTGAGTACAGCTGTTGGTTACCGTCGGATAATATCAAGTACACAAAATTAATATAATCGTAAAAGACAGGATAATCAACTGAAGGTTCGGTGGTTGAAGACCAGTGGAAATCTTTTACCAATATTAGAGATGTGAAATACTAGTATTTGTTATACAAGAATGAACCCTATCCTAGACAGACACGCTAAACTAGATTTGAAGGGTGATGGCTCTCACAGCTAGAGAAAAGGGAAGAGAAGTAACCAACTCATAGTGATTTTAACAGTTTGTTCATATGTTGTGCTGTTGGATATTTTTTTCATTGAAATCGTTTAAAATATAGGCATAATTGTAATTATGTTACAAACGTCTTTGATAATATTTTTAAACGCAGCTTGTTTTAAGTAGGAGTAGAAAAATTCCAATCCAAATCCAACCAAGCTACCATAGGAAAATGGAAAGAAACTGAGTGAATTTGGAGTACATATGTTCGTGGTTGTGTTTTCCATGATAACTATATGTTCATAGTGCATATAATTGTCAACATGGATTTGGCTATTTTTTTTTAGATTCTTTTTGGTCATATAGCTCTCCAACTGGTTCGGTTCTTATACATCATTGTCTTTAAAATGTTCGGCTTTGGGCGTTTCAGATGAAGGTTAATCCAGAAAAGCGCATAGGACGCATGAAAGTTATAATCTATTGTATCATTTTTTTTTCTTCAAGAAAGTCCAATGACGACTAAAGCATTTACATATACCAATAACTAGATGTTGTACGATAGACAATGAGAAAATTATCCATTGCAGACCAAATTACAACGATGTATATCCCAAATAAGAAAACTATCTACTGTAGACCAAATTACAAGGATTGATTACTAATGAGAAAACTATCCACCACAGACCAAATTACAAGGATAGAGATAAGTGCTTATCTTGACACGGCCTTCAATCATGACCAACAACCTTACCGTAATGTACGCAAAAAAGGGCATCGGGATAATAAAATGTGAAACAATTTAACCAACTACAGTGAATAACATTTAATGAAAACTATTGCCATACAGCTACCAGCGACAACTGTTCGACTACAGTATCAAGGATTGGGGCAGACCAACAAAGAAAGTGGCGGAGTTGGACGCGTTCCGTCTACACAAGACTCATGAGTGACAATCGAATCAAGAAACTCAAATCAATTACAGAGAGTTGAGGACAAATAAAAACCAAACATTCAAAAAGGTTGTGCTAAATCTTTGTTAAGATCGTACATGTTTCTGACGTCAACACACTCCTCCTTACCTAATAAATTTTTGTATAACTTGATAGCAATGTATGTTTCGTTGTGTATTAAACTATTTTAAAAATAAAATCAATGACGGTATGGACAAGAGAGGAGATACCAAAAAATGTAAACTACACGTTATAAATGTCATGCGTCCGAAGCGCTTTTCTTGAAAATTTGAAATCCAAGGATGTGTAAGGACCCGAAACAAAAGAGCTATATGACTTAAAGGAGACCTAAATATATTACCAAATCCATCTCAGGTCAAAAGGGACATTCAAACTCATAAGTTGAATATATACTGACCACGCTACGACAATAAAAGAAAAAGACCAAAAGACAAATAACAGTATACAAAACACAACATAGAAAACCAAAAACTGAGCAACACGACCCCCACCAAAAACTGGGGCTGATCGCATGTGATCCGGAAAAGGGTAAGCAGATCCTGCTTCACATGTGGCACCCGTCGTGTTGCTAAAGTAAGAACAAACCCGTTGATAAGTCAAATTCGGTAGGTCACTTTCGGGGAAAAGCAGGGCGGGATTGTGGTTTTGACAATTGGAATATATCCGTCGCCATCTGTGAAACAGATGTTCCGTAACGGTCAACCAACTCGTCATGGGTCGTAAAATTTTCGAAGGGATGCTTTTAACTTTAACAGTTTAACAGCTATCTTGTGAGAAGTAACCCTCAATCAAGGAAAAAAATGATAGGAAACGTAAGCCCCGGACAATCGTATCAACTGGTAGATATATACTCCATATGCAAGCGCTGTTGGGTTGTTGCTACATAGAAATGGAAAGTTCACAATTGGGAAGCTGAAGTCATCTTTTTGACGTAAAGTTTTGTTATTAAACTACCCTCATTGTCAATTTCTAGATGCAAGTGAAGATATGAGGCAGGCTTAATTGTATCTGTGGTTTCCTTTATTTCAAGTTCGATGGGATAGATGCGTTCAACATAGTCACCAAGCTTTGAATTATTTAGTGAAAGGACATCATCTATATAGCGGAAAGTTAAGTTAAAGGATTATGCTAGCTTCTTTTCATTTCTCCTTAGAAGCCCCTATATGAAATCAGCCCCATATGAATAAAGGAACAAGTCGACAAGAAGAGGAGCACATTTGGTTCATATAGGAATGCAAATTGTTTGTTGAAAACACGTCCTCCAAACGTAACAAATGATAATATCAGTTTCAGAGAATTTTTGTTTGAATCAGAATTATTTTGTACAACGTACGATGTATCCCTGCCTAAGGCAAGATACCTGTACGTTGGCCATTCTTTTCTCATGAAACATAGCAGAACCAACTCTTTCTTTTAGTTTGGAATGGAGAATAGTTGTATAAATTGTAGAAAAGTCAATTGTTTTAAAGCTATTGCAAGATGAAAGATGACAACAATTTAGAAAATGTGTAGGCATACTCTATTAATAATCACCTCTTACATAAACCCCAAGTACAATGAATGGACAATATTTAAGAAATTATCATAATGTTAAATTGATAACTTTTTAGAATAAAATTATTCAAAGGACCAATAAGTTTTCAAAGATCATTTCTTAATTAAAAACTCTATACGCAACTTTACTGTAAAAATTAGAGTAGACTATCTTATTATTATATATATTACTCATATGGTATATTGTCCTTTCATGTAATGCTAAATTCTTTGTTTTTTTATTTTTAATTTTTATATCTTAAATGAAGTCTGTGGTTAAAGTGCATTACATCTTCGATTTGAAAAAAAAAACAAATGTTACACATTCGTCTCTGAAACAGCAAAAGGCAATTGCATATACTCAAATATTTAATATTAGTAATAGTAATATTAGTACTTTTGAGTATTACTAAATATGATATAATAAGAATAGTTAAAGTATTAATCAATAAATGTTACTTAATAGAATGTTCAAAACGTAGCATTTAAAAAATGAACACTAGTTCTGAAAAAAGAGTTTATCTATAAGACGTGTGCTAAATAACTTTGAACTTAAAAATCTAGTACAATTATTGTACTTACCATTTTAGCATACCTATCTTCAGTTCAGTTCAAAAATAAATTGATGACTGATTTTTACATCGAATGTTGTATAATTTCAACCACAATATTTGTCAGTTTCGATGTCACATCCGTCTAAAACGTGTCTTAAACCGCTAATTTTAATATAAAGCGACTGAACAAAATGTGGTAGTTTCGTCCAAATGTATTTCACCTAATATGTTGTATATATATATAGGTACACTGATGTTTCGCGTTTTGAAACCGACAATATTATAAGCACAGTAGTAAGTGCTCTTATGTTGATATGAAATATCATTGACAAAACTCGTCAAAGATACAAGGCTCGAATCAAAACAACTATCTACTCTAAATATCTACCAAACTAAGCAACAACTGATGCTATAAAACCAAGCAATTGATCTAAACAATGATAAAAAGTGGTAAAACATAATATTTATGCATTTAATAATCATGAATTAAAACCATACAACTGTACAATGACAATTATGTTGCTGTTGTGAGGGTTGTAATGGTTGCTTGTGGAAATGTTAAATTTCTTCATGGTTTACTCAAAGATTATGAATGCACATTCTTCGAAATGTTACTTAAATATCTGATGATATATTAATATTCATAATATAAGTTTATAACAAATATAAGCACAATACCCCAAAGATTGCTAGAAAATTACCAAATCTCTAATGATATGTAAATATTCAAAATATAAGTTTATAGCAAATATAAGCACAATACCCCTAAGATTGCTAAAAATTTAACACAAAACTGTGATTTTTATTAAAAAAAAAGGGGGGGGATTAAGCACAATAGCCATGAATAAATCATAAGAAAACTCACAATCGTTAATGAATCAACTAAACGCTTTGAATTCATGTATATGAAGTGCTTTTCTGGTGTTACCTGCACAAGAGATGCGTAGTACGTTAACGTTGTAACTTTAACAAAACAAGACCGGTAATAACAATGTCCCCGATTAAAGATTAAATTCAAACTAACTGACGCCAGTTTTTTGTCGACCCCTCATTACTCTTTATGAATAGACCAGATTAAAAAATTGTCTTAAAGCTTGTTGGTTGTTTTACTATTCTAATACGTCACAATTAAGGCTCCAAAAAAATCACGCTATAAAATTTCTAAAAGACTGATTTCAGAATACCCGAGTATCACTTATGTTTCATATGCGTTATTTCTCTTTCTGATAGTTGCATTTGAAATTTAATTGCCATAAAATAAAAAATGTTAATCGACACATATGTTCAGCTGTTTAACGATATTTATTTTAAGAGAGAGGGATAGAGAAACTTGTTTTTGAAATAATATTAACCAAAATGTAATCGAAAACATAGAAGGTAAATATCCCACTTTTGCCATTCTGTGCACAGAACAAGTATAACTTTTCAGTACATGTAGTGACTGGTATTGAAATATATCATGAGAGGCCTATTCAAGTGTTCGGAAAGAATTTTTTCTTGGAAAAGGTATAGATAATCATGCCAAATTATGCAGATAAGGATTTTTTTAGTTTGTTTTTGTTTTTTTAAAGATTGGGAGACACTTCTACTAAAATGATTTAAAGTTGTGTGTTAAATTCCCATGAAACAGAATACATATACATACATTCAACATTCAGTAAAACAAATATTGATGACTTAACTTTTGTCATAACGAAAACGGTTCCAGTTGTAAAGTCATTCCCTTTGCTCTGGTCGATTCTTTGATTCAGGAATAAGTCAATAATTGTGGCATGTATCTTAAATATGCGTTTTAGAATGAGATATCAATGTTTACGCAAGTGCATTTCCAAAGATATAATCATAACTTCTGAGACCTTGCCTCAAATGTTGCAAATTTTAAAATTGATCGATGTCGACCTGTTTAAACAAAGACAAATCCAAGATGGCGGTCTTCTTAATGTTTAATTCAACAATATATAATTACATTAATCGTGATCATTTATATGTATTGTGTTTCTCTATTTATACCGCTCGTAGTAGTTGATGACTGTTGGTCTTCTCTGCAAAGTTGTTACAACATCAGTTTCTTGTGAAAACACGTCAAATCATTAAGATCTAGCCGCAACCACGTAAATATTTAAATTCACAAGTCAGGTTATAGATATAGATTACGCTATCGCTAACAAAGGCGTTTCAAACTATCTGAAACACGACCTTGTTTTATGTAATATCCAGTGATACTTTAATCTTCCTAATAAATCTATTGAAATCATATTGTGAAGACACTAAATACTTTTCAATAGTGGACAAAATATTCTTAGATTTTAATACCATTTTCTAAAAACCATCATTGATTTTTTTATGTTTGTCCTGCTTATGTACAAATTCCAAGATTATATCATTATACGTCAACGTTTTATCATTGATTTTTTTAATCTCTGTCCTACTAATGTACAAAGTCCAAGATTGTTTTATCATACGTCTCTGTCCTGCTAATGTACAAAGTCCAAGGTTGTTTTATTATACGTCAACGTTAACATTGATTTTTTAATCTCTGTCCTGTTTATGTACAAATTCCGAGAATGTATTATTATGTGTTAGTGTTTAAAGCACAGTTTTTCACACTCATCCCAGATCTCAGCACATCGATGGGCCCATGCTGACTTAATTACCATAATATTCGTAGATGGGCATTGCTGTTCAGTACACTGTCTATTATACCAAGCGTTACAAGATGCGCAGTCTCGAATTGGAACCTTTCTGGTTGCAACAATTAAACAGCAAATCAATGCAGTAGCCCAACAATATGTATTTCGTATCTGAAAGCAGAAGAATAGAGACGAAATGATATAAATCCTTTTTTTTTTAAATGTACATAATTGTTGAAAATACATTTAATGAAAAGACTAAAATGTGAATAATATTGAAATAATAGAGTATATATGTTTTATGCTAAAAATTTAAAACTTTCTGATTAAGTATTTTTTTTATGTAAACCAGAATAAACTTTATAGACGTATTTTAAAATTTTCAGTTTTGTTTCGATTGCCCCAATGAAAGTATGAAGGTACGTCTTTACATCTGAAAAAATCGAAATATTGTCGAGAAAAAAATATATACCTATACAAAAAAGAATAATTTCAGTCCTTTTTTTCTGCAAAAAAAAAATGCAATTAAGCTTCATTTGAACTATATAAAACTTACAGAAGTGTTAGTCTGTAGTAATCATAGTTACAGTAACAAAAGTACTTACCATGTTAACATAGCTTTCTTTATGTTTACTGGGAAAAATAAAAATAAGACTTATTCAACACCAAATTCTTCGGTAATTTGAATCATATTTTACATTGTACATTGTATATATAAAAGCGATGTCACTTCCGACAAGAAATATTTTTTAACCGCTTACTTGAAATTATTGCGTCATAACATAATTGTGGTTTTGTATTTTATGCTTTTCATTTTATTTTGAGGAACAAGACAGTAGCAAATGGACTACTTTAACATATTGGAGATGAATAACATGATAAAAATATATTTTGAATCGGTTACTAATATTTGGCTATCTGATTAGTTCGTACATACTGTCGCGAAGCGTTGGAACTATATTTGACGCACTGGGAGAGTTAATAAACGCCACCTAATAACGAAGTCCAAGTCGTATGCATGGAACTTAAGTGTTTAGATTTTATGAATAGCAAACGTTTCATGATAAACTTTGCCTATTTGAACTGTAACATTAATATTGAATGAATGAAATTGTTGTGAATTGAAAGATCTTTAATGTATATAGGAGCTATCCCAGACTTTTTATGTGATAGGATGTGCAGGCTTCTTAAAAGTGTTAGTCGTACTCTCAGATCAAAGTGTTTGAGAAGTAATGAATATCAAAAGTTTGATGGTTAGTTTTACCTAATTGAATTACAACCTCAACAATTGCATGATTGCAATAATTGTGAATATAAATAGTTATGAAAAGAGGCGGATGATACCAAAGAGACATTTAGAACCCAAAAGTCAAAGACAAACTGCTGACGCCAGTGCCAAACGACGAAAAGACGAACAAGTCTACAAAACCTCACGTAGAGCTATGACCGTTATATAAAACAGGCGAAATGTTTCATTCCATAGTTTTGTTTCATATTTGTGGAACAAACTGTTCTTTACAATCTATTAGCTACTCGCATTGGATAATACCACGGCTACGAAATAGAATAACATATCCACGGAAGGCCAGCAGTTCTTGTTATACACGTGGCAATCGTTCAGTTGTTCATTTTTAGATTTATAGATAGAATACACTAAACTTGTTGGTGTATACCCCTGCCTGATTCGTGTAATTTCATTTGGAGTTTGAACCCCAAACCCTCGGGATTTGCATCTCCACCCCATCCAACATTGTTGGTTTAGTATCTGTTATGTGCAACTAAAAAGTATGCTATTATGAGGGTGTGGATGGAGGGTCCTTCATTTCTGTATATTCTTTAAATATTTAGGCCATTTTTCATTATTCTTTATACTTTTTGCCCATTATTCTCTTTTCATTATATTTTAGCACCTCATTATTCTCTATTCTTTATTTGTTTTGTCCATCTTTCTCTATTCTTTATATTGTTCCCCATTATTCATATTCTGTAAACCCCATCCACACCCTCTATTATAACCTAACATTTAAATCAACATCATTACTTCTTGGAGCACCTGAGTTCAACCTCGGTTTTTGGTGGGGTTCCTGTTGGTCAATCTTTCGTTTTCTTTGAAATGTGTTGTTGACCTGTTCGTCTTTTCGTCGTTTTAATTTTTTTTCGCCATGGCCTTGTCAGTTTTCTACGACTTATGAGTTTAGAATGCCCCCTTAGTATCATCTGTCCATTTCCCACTGGTGACTGAATATAATTAAACAATGAATATGCATATGACCTAAATATAATATTTCACAAACATCTTCATCAAAACTTGAATATTTTACATTTCAAAGGTACTTTTAAATATTTTTTTTGTTTCCATTTGGAGTTGTTTTATTTACTGTAACTTGTATGAAAGCTGAGAAAAAGATAAAAAAAAACATCGTAAGGAAATTTCATTGACCAATAATTAAATCAACTTATACAATTGAATTAGTAAAAAAGACCCCCCTCTTCCCCCACCCACCAGTAAAATTATTGCAATTACAACTTTTATGTTAGTATCAACATTATGATCTTAAGTAATTTTATCGTGTATTTATCAATTTCCTTGTCACATCCGACTATAAGTTCATTTCACATATTAGGAGAGAAATTTATTACCACTTTATTTATTTTTGTTCATAAATTATGAACTTATTTTCTTACCTCGAGGTCTACAGGTCAAGTTAGAATTATTATCTTAAGTTTATAACTATTGTTTCGTGTCACATTTATGGAATTTGCCATGATAATGGCCTGCATGTTGAAATATTCATATCATTTTAAGCCAACCACAAAATTCTATCAAGTCGTATAGTAAATCATGTCTTTTTTTAATTTGTTTCCCAATAACAAAAAAAGCAGATCCTTCAAAATCCCAATTTAGAAAAAAATGCAAAACTAATTTTTCATTAATGTTTATGGATTTGAAAGATTTAGCAACCAGTTTTTTCTTTAAATGAATGATTAGTGCAAAAACTGTTATAAGGACCAACGATTTCAGCATGTCTTTGGGGTCATTTATGCTATTCAAAGTTTCTTCTAATGTTTTATAGTTTTCAATATATTTGGCAATAACGCAAGAATTGGGTAAAAAATTATCATTTAAGGGAAATAACTCTTATTAAGAGTCAACTGACCATCTCGGCAATTTGACATTTTTGTAGGTCTTGTATTTCTAGTCATTATTGTACCCCGTGCTACGCGTTGCGGGAGACATGGAAATATCGGGTGTTAGCGCTCTCATGTGTACAATTCTTGCCAGATTTTTATGAAACTTATATAATAAGTTTATATTAGCAATGTCTTGGACTAGTTCGAAAATCAGTACTGATCAATTATTTTTAAAAGAGTTGTGCCCATTGGAAACATTAGTTATATTGAAAATTGCATCGTTAGCGCTCTCATTTGTACAATTCTTGTCAGATTTTTATGAAACTTATATCATAGGTTTATATCAGCTATGTCTTGGACGAGTTCGGAAATCAGTGTCGATCAATTATTCTAAAAAGAGTTATGTCCCTTGGAAATAAAAATTATTTGGAGAATTGCATTGTTAGCGCTCTCATATGTACAATTCTTGCCAGATTTTTATGAAATCTATATTATAGGTTTATTTCATCAATGTACTTGAAGAGTTCAAAAATCAGTGCCGATCAATTATTTTCAAAAGAGTTATGCCCTTGAAAATATTGATTATATGAAAACTTGCAATATTACCCCTCTCATGTGTTCAATTTTTGCCAGAATATTATGAAACTTATATCAAAGGTTTATATAAGCAATGTTTTTGACACTTTCGAAAATAAGTCCTGATCAGATATTTTTAACGAGTTATGCCCCTTGGAAATATAAATTATAATGGAAATCACATTGTATTTGCTCTGAAGCCTTCATTTCTCTTAAGATATGAATAAAAAGTTTTAAAGAACAAAAAAAAAGTTCTTTTTTTAGTTATTGCCCTTGTACCTTGAATAGATAAAATATGTGCAACGTGGGGGACATTGGAACTATGTTTTTTTATTGATATTTGAAGGTTTTTTGTAGTGTTCAAGATAAAAGGCATAAATGAAAAAAAAATGGTAAAAATCGTCATTTAAGTGCAATAACTTCTGTAAGAAGTCGTATGACAGTTTAAATATAAATGGACAGTCGTTAGGTTTTAAAACAATCTGAACAATCTGCTATGTCATATTTTCTCTATCTCAAGCGGTTTTTTAGATACTGTACATTCAGAAATTATTGCGAGTTTTTTTATTTTATTAATGTGAATAAAGCGACTGACTGGGTGATAATCGCAATAATAAGAACTTGTATTTTGATATCTGATACAAATAAGTGTATGCAGATTTTTCCTGAAATCGCAATAAAAATCTCGCATTTTTGTCCATTCTTCAAAATTCGCAATATTAAATGCACGTAATAATTTCTGAATATTTTTGCCATGTCGTCTATGTTTTTTCAGGCGGTATCATCGGACATATTTTTTAAATTCCATACCCCAATGATGATTATTGTCAATTTGATACCAATTGGTACAGTTGTTCCAGAAGAGAAGAGTTTTGTAAAGGTTAATGGATGACGGATGATGACGGACGGTAAAGGATGAGAATAGCTCACTTGACTCCAAAAAGGTATGTTAGAAATCAAGTCTACCGAAGAACTTATTACTGAGCTACACTGAGCTACACTCGGGGACTATCAGTTAATCAGCAGCGATATGCAAAAATTAGCATTAAACATTGAACTTAAACATTGTAAATTTAATCAACAAATTATGGTTAGGCTCTGAAAATATTAAATAATTAATTAAAAATAGTTAACCATATTATATGCATGTAGTGCTAGTATCACGTGGTCTAATGGTCAATGTACTTGAAACTTTTATGTTGCATTCATTAATGAAATAACACACAATAATCTCATTTTTTGAGTTTTAAACTGTTTCCTTAACTAAAATAAAGAATCTCAACCTTCGAAACATTCTGTCATGTCAGATTTTCTATATCTATAGCGACTAGATAATTATAGACAAAGCATGCATTTTATCCCTATGCGACAGTGGTGTAATAGCACAACATAAAAACAAACTTATGAGAGAAAGAGTGGTATATCAATGAAAAAAAAAGGAATATGGATATAAAATAATAGGATGCTTGAATTAAATGTTAGAAACGCCACTCAAATTTTAAGCAGACATATAGGCACTCATACCACATCTTCTTATATCTATATATGGTGTTCCGGGGGATAAATATATATACAATAATCGTTGCAGTTGTAAAAGCCCCGACGATGAATCTGCTAGGGTATTCAAAAATAATTCTTGGCTTCTAAACACCAAATACATTTATAATACATTTATTGTGTAAAATATGTATAAAAATATAAAGTTCATAATTTTCAATGTCTAATATTACCACGTGATATGAAGTACTGAACGCTTTAGTTGAGCAAACCTAAATATAGAAGCTGCCTTCTGGACCAATATGAAAAATGTATGTGCACAATATACAAATATCTCTCAAACAGAATACTTTGCAGGTATACCATGTCCACAATATGCCAGTTTAATCCGGATCAGAAAGGTCATTTTTGACATTGGATGTCCACACAATCCTTTAATTCTATTGTATACACACGTTTCAACAGAGAACGTTACAATGAAATAAACCATCATGTCTGCCTGCAGTAAATGTCACAATGGTGTAAGAGTCGGGCGCAGTACAAAACACAAGCCGCTTTGAAAACCGGACATGGGTGATCAATACATTGTTGATTGTAATTAGTATTACAAGAGTCACAATCTCGGATAGGAATCATCTCCACTGTAATTATTAAGCTGATGATAAGGAGTATCAACAAACTGCATGTAGTCCTTTTCTGAAAGCAGAACAAATACAAATGACGAATGCATTTAAACAATGTCAGATGAGTTACACTTTATTTAAAGTACATTAGAAAGATCAGTGTCTGAATTAAAAAATAAAATATATATATAATAGTTAAATATAGTAAGAATGGATCTATACCAGCTGCTGGGTTACCTAAAAGGGGTGTTACGTATTCCGGAGAGTAATCCCTGAACTACAGAATTCCATTACGGTTCTCGTTCTCAGTTTTTGTTACAGTCAATCATTAAAACAAAATTTACATGGAAATACGCCGTAAATATCTTTCATTGGGGATGGCTATGGATAACAGTATCTTTAATATAATTAGAAAATATAGAGAAAAAACGTCATGTTAAAAAGAAGTTAAAAACTCCTGTTCCAAAGATATCTTCACCCTTTTGTTCAAATTCAAAAACAAAGATGGCAAGTTACTGATAAAAAGTGCAAACATTTGTTTACAGTGCTTACTAAAGAAAAGTTAATCACAACAAACTCGGTTGTAACTCATCTCTAAAGCTGACATTATTTTTATAAGATGCTACACATGTAAGCATAATAAAAAGAAACAAAATTAAGAGGACAATTTTCCTTCATTATGCGTTAATTGTTTTATGGAAGGGATCCAAATCCAAGTTTTAATCTAATTTATGATCTAATTTATGATCTAACTAATGTTTACAGTGCTTACTAAAGAAAAGTTAAGCAACACAACTCTGTGGTAACTCAACTCTGCGGTAACACAACTCTGCGGTAACTCAACTCTGCGGTAACACAACTCTGCGGTAACTCAACTCTGCGGTAACACAACTCTGCGGTAACTCAACTCTGCGGTAACACAACTCTGCGGTAACTCAACTCTGCGGTGACTCAACTCTGCGGTAACACAACTCTGCGGTAACACAACTCTGCGGTAACTCAACTCTGCGGTAACTCAACTCTGCGGTAACACAACTCAGCGGTAACACATTTCTGCGGTAACACAAATCTGCGGTAACTCAACTCTGAAGCTAATTTTATTCTTAAAACATTCAAATATGAATTAAAACAAAAAGAATTGTTTGCTCTATATGTAAAACAGAACAAATACCAGTATGTAAATATTAGTTAGAAAACAAATTTTAGATGGTCAGTTTTACACTAACATGCTTTCATTAAAGTTTTGATCTAATCTATGAAAATATAAACATGCAAAACATTTGTTTACAGTGCGTACTAAAGAAACGTTAAGCAAAACAACCGTGTACCTCAACTCTGAAGCTAACAGCTAGCACTGCATGGATAAAGCCAAAGGATTTCGAATATCGGGCAAAAAATCAAAAACAAGAGGAGCGAATATCCTAAAATCGGATATAACAAAAGCTGTAAATTCACGACCATTGTCATGTACCAGGTTATTGGGCGCAACAAACATTGTGAAAACATCAATAATATCGAAAGTCACCTCTGAAACACAATTTGACGTGAGAGCTCTAATGTTATGCGATTTTATCGAAACGTATATAGATATAGGAAGATGTAGTATGAGTGCCAATGAGACAACTCTCCATCCAAGTTACAATTTATAAAAGTAAACCATTATAGGTTAAAATATTTAGATATCAATTGAAAGACAGAATTGTTCGTTCCATGAGTTAAACAGAAGAACAATTACCAGTACATAATCCAACTCTGAAGCAGCTAGCTCCTTTTTCTTTAATTAGCTAAGATATATCAATTAAAAATAGAATTGTCAGCTTCATAAAAATAACCCAGCAGAACAAATACCAGTATGTAAGCATGATAATAAGAAAATAAAGTTTAGAATGCAATTCTACTTTAATACGCTTTATGTAAAGTTTGTGTGGAGGGTTCCGACTTACAGTTTTAATCAAATTTCTAAAATTATAAGAATTGTTGACTTTATACAACCAAAACATGTAATTCAGTGGTTGTCGTTTGTTGCTCTGTAACATATTTGTTTTTTCGTTCATTATTTTGTACATAAATTAGGCCGTTAATTTTCTCGTTTGAATTGTTTTACATTTGCCATTTCGGGGCCTTTTATAGCTGACTATGCGGTATGGGCTTTGCGCATTGTTGAAGGCCGTACGGTGACCTATAGCTGTTAATTTCTGTGTCATTTGGTCTCTTGTGGAGAGTTGTCTCATTGGCAATCATACTACATCTTCTTTTTATATGTACCATTCAGAAAGTCAAATTTGTTCAAAGAGTTATAGGGAATAACACGAGTTTTCAACTTGAATAATTAAGCTGAAGGCAGAATTCGATTTAACTCTGACAGTGCAATGATTTGTTACTTCAAATTTACACGATCAGTAACTTCGGCAAGCCAAACGAGCTTGAAAATGTTTTTAATACATGTAGTATTAACTTTTCTCCAGTCGTTGATAATTCATATAGGTATATGAAAAATTCTCTTTTTTTTATATAAAAATCAATGAGATCGTTTAATTTTTTTTATATTTATTGGGAATTTTAAGTCAATATTAAGAGAAGAAGTAATGGCAGTAGAAATACAAACTATAAAGTACCGAAGTTGCGTCCTATTTTCAATTAAAAAAAAAAAGGAGCACCACGTGCTAACAACATTTTTTTTTATGATAGAACAGCGACAAATCAGTAATTTGGGCAACTGTATGAGCTTTAATAATATGCTGTTTTCATAACAATCCATTTATTTGTAGGTAAATAACTATTTCAAAAACATACTGTGCGTTAACAAAGCTTTCGGATGGTACGATACAGTCATATGTCCCATGGGTGCAGTAGAAATAATTTAGTATGCCCATGTCATTCCTCTACTATATGTATGTTTTTATAGCTGCAAGTTTTTTATTTGTGATTTTTACACTTCCGATATAACTAAATTTTGTATATATATATTTTTTTTTTTTTTTAATTATTCATTACGCAATTGATGTTCTTTGATATTATCTTGAATTATTCAAGCTTTTGAACAGTCATGTTTTAAACGATACATTTTTTTCTGTAAAAAATAAGATTAAGTGTAAATTTCAGTACATAAATTATGCAATTGGTAAAGTTGACTTTAGGTTTTTGCTGATTTTATAGGCCTTTTTGTACTTGAAAGCGTTTTATTTTTTTTTATCTCTTTAAAATGTTGTGTACACGTGTTATGAAAATTACTCCAAAAACACGTGTAGTTTGCACTGCAATCTTTTTATTATTAATGCGTGTTCTAAAACAAATATAGTAGGTTTCGGCTTCATCATTCTATTGAATATACAGTTTGTGTCAATAATCATGGTAATAAACTTACCATTTTGATCTATGTTATTCCGATATAAAATTTTGCCGCCGAATGTTATTTCAAACAAAAGTAGTCTTATTTATACAATAAATGCTAAGTAATTTTATGTAACTGCAGTCCATTAAGTGTCATATCCGGGTATAAGTATACTCTAACCGCTGAATATAAGTGGCCGTATTGTTTTGTGGTGATGTTGTTTACTATCTGTTTCCCCCTTTTAAAGGGAATACATGTCTTTATCTTTAAAGATGTAAAATTTAGTACGGGGAAAATATTTATTATTTGTGAAATATGAAGACGATTCAAGAGAGAACAAGTAAAATATTTGTTTACGTTTTAAATAAGGAGATAAACGGAATTCTGTTTCTTGTCGATTAGGTAATGGCATTTAATCGATCCAGAATCTACTGCTGAGGAGAAATTATAAATCATAAATCGTGGTTCTGAATGATTTAAATTTTGTAGGTCACATTTCTCTATTATTTATATTTTTTGCTCATTATTCTCTATTCTTTATATTTTAGCACACCATTATTCTTTATTATTTTTTTTGGCCTATTTTTATTTTCCCCCATTCTTTATTATTTGACCCAATTTTCTACAATATTGGCCCATTATTCTCTATTCTGTAAAAATCCCATCCAGACTCTCTTTAATGATCCGAATAAAACACTCTACATGCTATAAAGTTGTTATAAATGCGTTACTTATATAACTTTTTTACTGATCAAAAGCGGTTGCAAAGCAGAATTAGAGAAACATATTTAACCATCCTAGCTTTACTTTGTTTCGTTGGTGTAAACCGTCTCATTGACATAAACATCACAGCTCCTTGTTTCATTTTAAAGGAGAAGGTCCTCGGTAGCTGAGTGGTTTAAGTAGTTTGTCTACTGTATCACTAGATTGTCAACACTGAGATTGTGATATCGAACCCAGCACGTGGCATGTGCGCTCGACTTCAATCTTAGTTGACCAGGATTGTCAGTTGTTTCTCTTGCAAAAAATTGATGGTTCCCTCCGTGTTCTCTGTCTTCCTCCACCAATAAAACAATTACCACCACATAAATGCAATATTTCAAACTCGCTGATTTTTTTTATTTTACAGTAAAATCGCACGTTTCATTAAAATGATGTCAGTTTCTTTATATTTTAGCGTTAAAAAAAATGATTCATTGACAATATTTTATTCTTAATCGCTACCAAGACCGACGGAATTTTCTGAATCATTTTTTTTCATCTTTTCTTTATGAAACGATGATAAAGGCGGTTTTCGTTTTGTGAATATCTACGTGAGCTTTAAAACATAGTGGCATTTATTTAAACAAAATTGTGTCCCTATAAAATGAAGTCATATCAAATAACATGTGTTGCTTTTAAAACAACTGTATGATATAGTTACATAGAAATGCTATCAGCAAAAAGTTCAGATTGTGGCAATTTAACCAGAAAAACACAAGAAAGTACAGAGATTCATATTGCTATACAAAAGCAGTAATAAGATATCAATTTGATGATAGAAAAAAGATTTCATTCCAAACCATAACTTTTCATTCCAAATCCATAACCATGAAACATCTTTTGAAAGTGTTACTTCATCTGGATAATTTGAGATAATGACACTATTCTTGTTTTATCAAAACCAATTGTTCTTTTAAGAACAAGAGAAAAGATAAAATAATTATTTATTACTTCTATGTAAATCAGAGGTAGATTTCTTATATCCGAGGGGCGTTGGCATATATAAATATGCAGCGACAAAGTTAGTAGTATACCATAGTGCATTCACTGGTGTCATTTCCGCTTAAACCTTTTAGTATTTGTATAACCACAGGTTACAACAAAAGATGCAATCCACACTTGTGGTTAAGAATTATTTTTATATTTAAATTTCTATTGTATTTAATGTTATTTGAAACATTTTCTTTCATAAGTTTTTCTTTTTCCTAATTTTTCTCCCCCTTAGTGTTATTAACATTATTATTTTTTGTTAATAGTTTAAATCTGCTACAGATTTAGAAAACAGTTGAAATCGGAGGGATTTCAATGACCAAAAACACTTATTGGTATCTTGAAACTACCAAAAGTTCAAAGAAACAACTTTAGATAAGGCCGTTTTACTTTTTGATTGATTTTTATTTTGCCTTATGTGACAAACGAGAGGCGATAGAAACCAGAGGGATATTCAAACTCATAAGTCGAAAATAAACTGACAATGCCATTGTTAAAAAAGAAAAAAAAAGACCAACAGACAAACAACAATACACAAAACGCAACATAGAAAACTAAACACTGAGCAACACGAACCCCACCTAAAACTGGGGTGATCTCGGGTGCTCCGAAAGGGTCAATTGCTCATTCTTTGTTATGGTGTTTGTAGAGATTTTGTTAAACATGAAGATATTTTTTGCAGTATTTTTGACATTAATTATATACTTTCTTTCATGAGCTGAACCCATGGACGACTTGTGCATAGACATATAATAAAATGGCCTCATCCTTTCCGACAGTCAGAACCTTAGGTTCGTCAGGTTGGCTGTGTTGGATGTATAAATACGCAGCCACGTCCAGTCGTAATGGCGCCAAATAATCTGATTCCACGTGTTAAAGGAGTGTAAAGCTCTCTTTACGATAAAGAACGTTTCAAAATACTTTCCAAATGCTCCGTGAATGGTCATTTGCAAACATATCTGATGGTATCCAAATTCACCTCTCATCCATGGGAATTTCGAATTTCTTGAACTCAATCCGAGTCCACCAACGTTTCACAACATACACACTAAATATTTAACTAATTGTTTAATTCATCATCTTCATGAATCCATGAATAATTAAAATAACCTTGATTTGAGGTATGATAGAAACCATGACCCAAAGGGGTTATATTCATCCTATTTATCTTGACAAGATGACGTATTTATGTTAAGACCTACAAAGCACCAAAAAATACTAAATAGATGTATTTGAAAATTATTCCAAAAAAGTATCTGATTTACCAATTGAATTTTAAAATTCAACCATAGTTTATGAAGCAAGCAGCAAATTTGATACATTATGGTAATCTGTATTAAAGTTTGTCTTTGAAGTAGTATATCATTGGGTCTCTGCCACAGATCATGGACTGAGTCGTTCGTCCTGGGATTATAGTACTGATTATGCTTTATATAAAAAAAAATCTTTTAATTTTCAAGTTGATTGTGGAAAATCTAACAAAAGGTTTTTCTGACAAATTTACTTATTCCACACTTTCGTGTATATGTTAGCGGAAATAAGTGAAACTGGACATTAAACTGAAATCATAGGCAATAAGCTAACGCATCGGCTGAAATGTTCAGGCATTAAGCTTATTTCCTGAAATATGATGATGATTATTCAACATCTTGCCAAACATAATTTCAGGCAATAAATGAACTTTGGGATTTTTGCTTTATATTCCATATAAATGTACATACGGTGAAATATTCTTGATATAAAGTATTATTTATATCATATTCCACATATTAATATAAATTAAAATAACAGATCTTCAAATTTTAGTATTTTTTTTATATCCATACGTGACAGAATTAACTTGTATTTCTTTATGGTATTACAAATGTCTGAATTCATTTGAAGAAAATTCGCACTTCACTGGTCGACATGGTTTTGGTATGGTCAAAAGTAGACAAATATAGATATGAATTTTTACTCAAATTATCTTTCCAATGATTTTATTGGATATGTAAAACATATGCCCCCACGCAATCGTGTCTTTTTCACCTCATAATCTGTATCATTAGCATTTAAGTGACATGTCTACTAAAGACGAATCTTTGCGGATTAAATTTGAATCAGTGAAAACAAGGAGCATATACCCAAGAAAGTATAATATCTTTTGGCAAAGATTGAACTTTTACCTTTTAGAATCCCCAGAACAGACGCCAACTATAGACTATCACAATTTAAAAAGGTATGGTATGTTTAGCATTGTAGGCTCATTGGTAATCATACCACATCTTCTTATTTTTATATTTGAAAGGTTAACAGTAAAGTAAAGCAGAATGGTGAGGAATATAAAAAAAAAACATATGTTTTTCTAGAGGAACTGTATTGTCCTTTGGAAAAGGTATACATACACAGGTCGTGGCGACAGAGACCGTATGATTTATCCAACTTAATAATGCCTATGCAAATATTTGTCGTGATTCCATGGCTATGCAAATATTTCTCGTGATTCCATCAAACTATTTCTTTCACTTTGTAAAAATTGTAACATGAAGAAAAAGTATTTAGGGAAGGGAGTAGTAGTAGTGAAACCCATTCTATTCAAAGAGTTCAACAGTAGAAGACAGGTAGATTTCCATTCAAACCCAGATGGAAACTAACTAGTCATTTTTTAGGGCCCTTCATAGCTTGCTGTTCGGTGTGAGCCAAGGCTCCGTGTTGAAGGCCGTACTTTGACCTATAATGGTTTACTTTTACAAATTGTGACTTGAATGGAGAGTTGTCTCATTGGCACTCACACCACATCTTCTTATATCTATATACGTTTCGATAAAATCGCATAACATTAGAGCTCTCACGTCAAATTGTGTTTCAGAGGTGACTTTCGATATTATTGATGTTTTCACAATGTTTGTTGCGCCCAATAACCTGGTACGTGACAATGGTCGTGAATTTACAGCTTTTGTTATATCCGATTTTAGGATATTCGCTCCTCTTGTTTTTGATTTTTTGCCCGATATTCGAAATCCTTTGGCTTTATCCATGCAGTGCCATTAAAAATTTTGCCCGCTGTACCAAGTCAGGAATATGACAGTTGTTATCCATTCGTTTGATGTGTTTGTTTTTTTGATTTTGCCATTTGATTGGGGACTTTCCTTTTTGAATTTTCCTCGGAGTTCAGTATTTTTGTGATTTGACTTTTTACCCCCACTTTTCTTTTCCTAATTTTATTACATACAGTTTAAAAAGCCATATTTGAAAATCTTATAAAAATCCTTGTTTTTTGTCAGTGTTTTTGAAAGAAAAAAAGGTGCCAATGTTAAATGTATGAATATCTAGAGAGAATCATTTCCCGACAAATTTTCAAGGGCTTATATCTCAAAAACAAGCAC